TAGGGAGTTCATTTCAAAGAAATGCGCAACCCCCACTCCTTGACGTCGTGCCCTGTACATGGTTTGTTGGATTACATTACGTCATAAAACACTCATTGGTGATGTTCTTCTACTAATATTTGAATAAACCGGGAGACGTACATAGAATTCTATTCGCTAGCAAATACTTTCTTTATCAGGTGAATGAAAGGCTTTAAAACTCCGCTACTGGACATTTCGATTTTCTGACAAGACTCCCTCTTTTAAGTTTAAGTAATGATCCGGGTAAGGTGGATAGTAATTTCTTTTGTTATGCGGCAGCGGTGCTTTCCCCACATAGGAATGTTTTCATTTTTTACACAGAGAATGCATAAACCTACATGAAGGCCGCCTACGCAATAAAATGCATTTACACTCCACTTTGAAAGGGTGTTTTTTTATGTTAAAAGATTTTGTCCAATCACAAGAGTTGAAAACAATAGCCAAGAAAAGTTTACAATTTTGCATGTTCCCCACATAGGATTTCTTTGTTATTCAAACTGAGACCAGATTTTGTTATATGGAAGATGGCTGGAAAGTAAGGTTGAATTTATGTCCCGCTTTATGAAGTTTTGTTAACTTACCAATCACAAGAGTTGAAAACAATAGCCAAGAAAAGTTTACAATTTTACATGTTCCCCACATAGGATTTCTTTGTTATTCAAACTGAGACCAGATTTTGTTATATGGAAGATGGCTGGAAAGTAAGGTTGAATTTATGTCCCGCTTTATGAAGTTTTGTTAACTTTTGCTGTTTAAGCCAATCAGAAGTAAGTACAGACAATAGCAAAGTTAGCAGCTTTTTTGCATTCCAACATGTTCGTTGCCGTTGTTGCTATCGTTCTTAGCTGGACTGTTTCTTAAAAATACTCTTAAAATACGTATCTTTGTCGAAACCTACCTTTTGACGGTGAGAACAAGAAAGCCCACTCCGCGACTCGTCTTTATCATTTGCGAGATCCTCAGGACGTACTGTGTAAGAAAAATGTTTCCTTAAAACACTAAGCAGGATAAAACCTTCTAGCAATTTGTTGGTTCCACTGAGGACCAACCATCTAACAAGTTGACTGTTCCCGCATTCCAGTGAACAATGATCACAATCCGATGCTTGAAGTGACAAAAAACAGTGATTCGCAATCTTAAAATTTATACTTGGCTTACAGGCTGGAGGAATAAAACAAATCACCATGAGGATGAGGGATGAATAATAGATTTCTTTTTGCTTTATGCCTCCCCCCCCCTCCCACCCCTTCTTCTCTCCCCAGTCTCGGAGCAATGATTCCTCGAAATTGGTCTGTTGTCAACTTCAGCCTCGAATTCGTCTTATCGGCTTCCCTCACTACAGCGAATTGCGTGAAAGATCTATTCTGAAGTAATCGGGCCATAAGAATTTTTAGCAGCACGTGAAAAAAGCAAACAAACAAATAGAAATCAAAATAAAAGCGATAATAATACTACTCTCACCTCGTTTTCTTCTAGAGGGGGATTTAAATCATCCAGTGTAACACTTCTTGCATTATCACTGGCCTATGAATGGAACAAAATGACTGTTATTTCGTGTATCGTATACACGCGTTCCGTACCAAGAGTTGCTGAGCGAATGAGCAAGGACATGTGCTCGCCCGGCATGATAGAATTAATCATGTTTGCTGTGTTCTGCTAATGCTTAGCATGTTGCTCTGTCACAATAAATGGCTCAAAGACAAATGCAATATGTGTAAGGAAGTGTTGTGCGAGACCATTCGTCCGAAAGCTGTCTTATTGGTCAGAAAGTATTGGCCAACCCTTCATCCTCTGGCTTAAATTTAAAAACAAATATCTGCCCAAATAAATGACATAACAAAAGACTGAAGCATTGGAAAAGTTATTCGCAAAATATCTCTATCCATGTGCACTGTAGCAATGGTTTATAAAAGGGTGTATGATATAAAGATATCAAGATATTAATTTCACCGAATGCAATGTGCGGAGCAATAAGTGTTTGATTAAACATTTTCAACAAATTAATTACCTCCGTCAAAGCTTCATAGAACAACGCAAACGCATCAGGTTCAACGACTAAAAAGGAAACATGAATTCAAAATTATTAAACTCACCATCAAGTAGAATGAAATGCAAAATATTATTGGAGATTAAGCGAACTCTCTAATATGACGATTCATTCATTTGTTTTATTGAATCAATCAACAAATCAATCAATCAATCAAGCAACTAATCGATCAATTAATCGATCGATCAATCAGTCAATCAAAAACAGGCAAACATTCACTTTACCTTCCGTAATTGTGTTCTTCAATACTTCAAACAACCTTTCGCCGGCATCCTGGCTATTGGCAATCTGCAATCTACTGACGTGCTTCTCAAAATCTGAAAGTTCTAGCAGCCAGAAAATAGATACTGGGTTAATAAATTGTAATTCAATATTTTCCATTATTCACAAACTTATTCATTTTGATTAAAAAATTAGACCAAATAATAATTCAAAAACCTGGCAGGACAAAATCAAAGGATGCGATAACTTCTAGAAGATTAGAGCATTCATTTAGTGGGAACTGGGGCCAATTAGCTTATGGAACCAGAAAAAAAGACCAAAACCACCAGTGAAAGGCAAAGTTCCTTAAGCGATATTTCTTAGATGAGTTAAACACGTTTCCAGAGTGTCTTTGTCGCCATCCTATGTAACTCAAGCGTGCTGGTCAAAGCATGCTCGAATACAAAAAATCAAACAAGGACCAATGAAACATGCACGAAAGATACTGACGACATTAGAGGAAACATTTACTATCCGACCAACCGCTATAGTCTACTTCTTGCTTGACACTTGGGAGACCGAAGTTCAACAAAAAACATCAACTGTAAACCGAAGGAAAAGGAGGGATGAAGGAAATACTTATCATTTTCAGAGAGATGCCTTAATTTTGATGACGAAAACTTACCTAAAGGTGTAGGGGGCACTGCCGACGTAATAACCTCTTTCCTATTAATTAAAAAAAAATTAATAAAATAACTTGCCATTTTAAACTGTTCAGTACTTTATTAATAACACTAACAACACCATTGGTTTTCTCTCAGATTTCAGAATTGAAGCTTAAAATCGACTGTTCGGGCAAAATTTTACTGACAGCATCCGCACGCAATCCAGACTGACGTACAATCATTTCAGTCAAATGACTACAACAACAATAATAACAAAACCCTGAAAAAAGCCTGCGTAGCGAGTGTTTCCGTGCTAGTTCGTCGAGAAAGTTGTAACGAGAGCAAAAAAGAGAGAAGAAGGAAGGGGAGGGGGAGGGGAGAGAAGGAAACCTCTTCTCCCCTTCCCTTCTCCCCTGTATTTTTTTTGGTCTCTAACTCAATTGGAAACGCTTGCTTCGCAGGCTACCCCGAAAGAGAAATGCAAACAGTCAATAAAAAGAAAAGCGTTCTTACCTTTCTGGTCTGAATTCCTAAAAAGGGACATTCCTATTCTCAATTTTGTCCATTTGTAGTACAGAGTCAACGTAAACAAATTTCTCTTTCTTTCTTCGTTTCTTTTTGTTCGTTCATATTTCTTCCCTTTGGTACGACTTTTCGGAACGCCACTCTAAAATTAGGTGTGTTTCCCTAGCACACCTTGTGAGTTCTCCAGCACATAAAGGTGTGTGGTGGTGACACACCTTTATGCTGTTTCATTTAAAAGTTCAGACTAACACACAAGAGTGTGCAAATAAACACAGAAGGTGTGTAATTACAACACACCCTGTGATCATTCTAGAACTCACCCTAAATTGATGAGAAGCAAATGGAGAAATCTGGCAGATCCACATAACACACCTTGAATGGCAACACATCTTCCCTATTTCAGGGCATCTGTGATACCAGACAAAGCTAATTGATGACATCAATGAATTCAACGAATAATCAATGAGTAATTAATGAATAATCAGTTGATTGGTCATTGATTATTGCCAATGTTCAATGAGTAATCAATGAATAATCAACAGTCCACAAAATTGTCAGTCATTGATGGCACTGTTTAGTCATGGTCGACATAATCTTGTAGCTACACAAACCATTCCAAATCGAGGAAAAAAACAAATAAAAGCAACTTCTTCAAGGTATCTGTCACAGAGCAAACTTTACTTAGTCTATAACAATGGCATCTAAAAACATCAACCTCGTGACTTCAGTAGTGTGCTGATGTTGAACCAGACCTTGACAGTTCTCCCATCAAGGTTATTTCATCTTGAAAATTTTTCAAGTACTCTTTGCATAATAAATATGCAGCATAATATATATTATTATCATTCGATGCAAACTTTTTATCCTTTTCATTGGCCGAAAGCCCACCAAGTGACCTGCAAATAACTGCCTACAATAATAATAATGGTCTGCTCAATGCGCAATGTTGTCCAACTGTGTTTGGCTGCAAATAATATTCTGCTCATGCGTAAATGAAACCATATTCATTAAAAAACAAACTTGGTGATCGAATGATAAAACAATTATTGAACTAGGTTATCACAAAATATTGTGATTTGCCAGTGTCTCGCACATCAATTATTTGCCTCAGCCTTCAGCTTCGAAAATAATTGATCTGCTCGCCACTGAAAAATCACGATATTTTGCTCAACCTCGTCCAATAATTGTTAAATATTGACAAATATCAATTATCAATTGTCATCAATTGAGCACACCAGGTATATGTGTAATCAATGAATAATTGATGGGTAATCCTGCTTGGTAGGTAATCGATGTGTAAATCAATAGCATCAATATCAATGACATTGATGTGCAATCAATTGGCCACAAAATTTTGGGTCATTGATTACCCATTGATAATCGCCACTAATCAATGACTAATCAGTTGATTAATCATTAATTGAACCCATCAATTACTCATTGATAAGCCTAAAAATCTTTCAGTAATCAGAATTTGAGACAATTACATGCAACGTACATACAGTTATATCGAACATACAGTCTTTATTAACTCTCATCCACTAAAGTACGTCTTCAATACAACATGTGTCCTTCTCCACAATAAATTTCTTGCCATTCTTTTGAACAATATGTAATACTCCATACCATTGTAAGTCATGGCGCAAAACAACTGCTTTATGGTCAGTCCTCCCAACTTCATATGCCATGAAGTGATGGTGAAAAGAAAGAGTTGCAAGTTCTGTCAAAATAAAAAATTTCTCATCTTCCCAAACGATGATCTCATCTACTTGTCCATATACAGGATAGTCATTCTCCACATCATCCATTTCGCGTAGCCTCAAGACACATCCAGGTCTGTACTCAATACCATGAATCCCAACACGCTTTACCCTGAACATTAAAAGACTGCAATTAACATCTGTCACAATATCAGTCAAAGTATAAATCAAGGTAAATCAAGAGCATTTGGAACATAGACAGAAAGAGGATTTGCAGGTGAAACACAAACTTACCTGCTTCCCACAAATCTCTCAGGGACATCACCCAACCCTGCAGCATCACTTATTAGCTGAGCCTGGGGATGCTGTTTTAGATCAATGCCATAGTCACCTATAAATAGTAAACAGCAAACATTTAACCTTCTGTTTACAATTTGATATATTACAAAATTAGAATTGAATCATCTAATTCTGAAAACCTGTGGTAATGGGATCCACTTACCTGGACCAACAACATCTCCTGCATACAGATATTTGGAGGTTGTATGTCCAGTTGATGTCAAAAGGTTCCAGCACATGTTCCTGAATAAAACAATCAAAACACAAGAATACGTTAACAATCCCCTAATAATTCAAATTTCAAGCTGTCACTTTTGTCTAGACTACGAGTAGTCCCCATTTTTCCTCAGGGATAAAGAAAACATCCAGTTTCATTTCAGAAGCCTCTCCTCCCTTCCAAAAAATGTATAAATATAAAAATAGTGTTTGTCAAGTCCTTGAGGTCCTGAAAATGTATTTAAGTTCTTGGTGCCATAGTTCGATGAAAATTCTGCCATGGTATATGACCAGTAACACTCTAGTGTATTTCAGAAAAAACTAATACATTTACCTTTGGTGACGAAATGACAGAGTTCTTGGAACGTTTTTAAAATTCTTAGAAATCACTCCCTTGAAAAAAGTGTGCTTGGCCTCAAATCACATGGTCCAAATGTTCCGTGCTGGTCCAAACCTATGTTGAAAAGTGTAAAGTTTAGTGAGGGAATAGTAAATATGTTGATTGAGTGAATACAAATATTGTTGAGCGCTGTATGAGCAAATAGGAATCAAGGAACACATTAAGTGTTCTTAAGAACAAGGAAAACAAGTAAGATTTAATTGACACTATAATTATAAGGTGAAATTAATGCTTACTACACTGCAGGAGACAAATAGGAAGCTAATAATGAATTCATAATCACCTGGCTATGTCATCTGGAATGTGGATAACATAGTGCATTTTGGGTATGATTGAGGCTTCAGGGTAGAGTCTTTTGAAGAGGGTATGGTGTTCCTCTATGAGAACCCGCAAGTATGGAACGTCATCTTTTCTGATGGCCGGAGCAGTACAGAGTTGGACAATATTCCACAAAGTCCGAAGGCAACGCCACTCCTCCATCTCCACGTCAACTTTGTCCCCAATTAATACAGGGAGAAAGCGAAAAAGACACCACATCTGGGATGCTGTAACATTCAAAAGAAAAAAAAATACTGAAAATTTATGATTACTATTGCCCTGCAAGCCCCTTTTCTAGTTAATAATTTTTAGAAGTATAAAAAGAATAACTATGCCAAATCAATTAAGCAGGTGGTCCTTTAAACTGACTTCGCTTATGAGGAACAAAGACTGGAGTCATTGCATTAATGTCATAACGGAAGATTATTTAACAGATTTGTAAATTTGATGCTATCTCCACCTCAACTGTGTGACATAGAAATAGTGACTTTGTATACAGCTGATTGTACTATTCTTACTGAAGTAAATATTGTAGAGATACCAGTTTCATAGAGGTCTTCCAAAGGGTGGTCTGGTGTCGCTTTGTTGTTCCTTTACAACTCTGTCTCTCGCTAGTTTTGTTGCGGAAAAATGCTATCTATCTATCTATCTATCTACTCGGTATTGAGCACTGCTTCTCTTGTGTAATGAAAAACATGTTAAGTATGATTATTAAATAATTGAAAGAAACTAACCACTCTGTTTTAATTTAGCATCCTCCAAAGCATTCAGTGTCTCCCTGGCAATAGGTGTTGGTTTGTCCTTGTTGTGCATATAGCCATAATTGAAGCTTTCCATTCGGTGGTTTAGCTCTTTAAGGGTCAAGCTTCGTTTCTCATCAATCAGCACCTTCAAAAAACGCTTGGTCTCATAAGGCACAACTCCCTCAAAGAGAATGTGCATGATGTCTTCAGGAAAACACTGGCACACATCGAAGTTGGCAACCCTGTTCATCACACTGAGCCCATTAACTCCATATGTAGTTGAAAGGGCATCACGAACATGAGGTGCATTGTCTGGATCCTCAATCATGCCACAGATTCGCAAGTGATCGGTCAGGTTTCTTGCTTGAAATTCTTCTGCTCGAAACTGGAAAAAAAACACCATATCATGAGGCAACAGTGCAATCCTGAAATAACATAAAACAAGTCATCAGTTCTCTGAGAGCTTAGAATTTACATACAGTATGTACAGCATTCATGATCAGTTGCAATTAAAATGTCAAGTTCAGGTTAAAATTATTTGAACCAAGTTTGATTTGAAATTTCTTTTGTTTGGTTTCATTATTATAAGGAGACAAAAAGAAATTACCTTTCTTCCAGTTTCTTCCTTTGTTCCCATGCAGTGTCTGCATATTCTAAGGGCTCCACCAACACCTTCTTTGAAACAGCTGACACAATTGCTACCCAGTGTATCACCAGTCCATAGTAGAAGGCCTCCTCGTAGGTACCTCTCTTGTCCATGAATCTTAAAGCAATGTCCTTGTTCCTTTTTACGTGGGAAGAAAGTCAACATGCAAGCAATAAGTTTAGATGTATGATATTTTATAACCCACCAATTAATTTTTGTGTGATTTTATTGGCTATTTTGGATCACAAAGCCAGTCTTTTCAAGAATCCAATCACAATTTCAATAAAATTAACTCAATGTCATTCGGAATCGTCATCAGATCACTTTTGTTTTCAACATTTTCAACTTTCAACTGTGTATCACGAGTTGCCCTTGAAATGAACTGTTCATTTCTAGGACAATCTATCAGCCGCAGACATTATCGTCAGATATACCAGCTGCCGAAAGGGAAATATTTACTAAATGCACCGTAAGTTTTATTTTGCACTAAAACTGACTGGAGTTTTTTATTACTTGGTTTAAATTTTACTAGCAGTACAGGAATGTGACTACAATTTATATAAGATTCTGTTCACACCTTGGCAAGTTCATTGAGTTCTTGCGTGAATGGTAACAACATTTTGTCAATGCCATGCCTCTTCAAGTCCTGTGTCTTTGCAATACCAATAAGCTGGATATTTCTGAGAGTGGAACGGTACATGGGATGGATGTTTGCAAGTACATAATAAAACACTCCTGCAAATACAAACATTTACATGTTAATGAAATGTGATGGCAGTTAACTACAGTTCTGTAAGACCTTCCTCAACAAACTAGTAGGGTCACGCACTAACCCCTACCATCATGTCTATACCTACACACCAAAAAAAGAACACTGAAGACTCACCATGAACTACTTACTTACCAATTTTGTGTACTTTAGCCTTTGAGCCAAGAGGATTGGCAATCTCTAGGTCATCAAAGTATCCTAAAATGATAAGGGCATCTTTCTGGACAGCAAAAATTGGATGGTTCTGTACAAATTCACCATCCAAAACATCACGCAAGACATCATCATTTGAGTGATGTGGGTTATCAACCTCGTGAAGAACATCAGGGTTCTGCAAAAGTGCCTGAAATAAAAAGAAGTGACTTTAAATACCAATTTGTTCAATCAAAGAAGGCCTGATAACGCTATTCAGACACCAAATAAGGAAAAGAAATGACAGACAAGAGAAAAAGAGTGAGGTTTAAGTGTCTAAGACTCTAACAATCAACCCTGGAGACAATGTTTCTGTATATAAAGCCAAACTGGAGTTTATAATCCATGACAAGGGCATTAATGCCAGTGGCTGACTCATTTTTTTCAATAACAATCACATAACAAAAATGATTAGTCCATTGTAGACCACACTAAGGCATTATATGTACCTCTAAACTCTTCAATAATGGAACATGGTAACCATAGTCCGAGATTCTCTTCAGCTTCTTCCTTCCTTTTGACATGACATACTTCCATCGCTTTCCAAGAAACACCCTTAATGGTTCCTGAATTACAAGTATTGAAAGAGGAAAATTAAAATATTTGCCATAACTTATGTCTAAGAATTCACGAAGATAGGCATCCAAATAAGGTAGAAAATGCTGGATGAGTGGGGAGTAGCAAAGAGGATCTAGTTCCGGCCTTGAGGTTGTTTTAAACAATTATTCGTATCTTGAGTTTTGCCTTCATTAAAATGCTGTATTTACAGGGCTGTTCTCTGTGGCACTCAGTGGCCCCCTGTGACTTGCTTTTGCCTTTGGGCAACAAGGACATCTTAGTATCTGCACAAAATTACCAGAAATTATGCTGGGCGCCTTGGAAACTGAATTTGTGTACAGTGTGGTGTATTCCAGTAGTGGTTTAAGTTACAGAGGGCAAAAGTCCTTGCCGGGCAACACATGTTATCCTTAACTGAATGAGCATTATATGTAAATAAATCCAAATGACAAAGCAAACTTGTGTGTTTGTTTAATTCACACGGTTCGACACAGTGCAAGTATCCCAATGCTGCTCCATCTTGCGACATAGCCCCTTTAACAACTGAACTGATTCAAAAACACAAGCAGTCCAGTATTGTAGTTTGGGCGAAGATGGGCCTTTTACGTTAGAGGTCGCCGAGTTGCTAAAATTCCCCCCAAAAGTTTGCATTTATGGAAAAATTTCACCACAAGCAAAATACAACTTAAGTCTTCTATTTAAGCTTATGTATTTGGCGAAAGTTTTATGTCTTTCTATTTTAATTAATTATAAGCTTACCACTAAGTTGAAGTTTTCCAAGAAAAATGATCTCTGTTCTCGTTCAGAGTCTAGTCCAGAAAACACATCATCTGCCACAAATAGATCATCCATGTCCTGGGAAAACTCAAAGTCATGGCCTATGCTGTCTTTCAGTTTTGCCATCAATGATTTCTTAACCACATCTAGGTATTCACCAAGGAGTGCTTTGGTGGAATCCTTTACCATGTCCAATGCTGTTTGCGTTATCTTGCCATCTTCCTTTGTACGTAGCAGAAACTTTGCAGCATGGCGCTGTAAATCTGAGCGTGCTGTAACCTCGTCGAAGTCTTCCTCTGCACTTTCTTCCTGGACATAGTCAATGCCAGGGTCGAATTCATCCGCCGGTGCACGATCAGCAACTTCTTTGTGCACGTGTTCGCGGTTGTAATGTCTTTGGAGACTATTGACTTTCGAAAAAGACCTTCCACAATTGGAACAATAAACCAGAAAGTTAGGTTCGTTAGAGTGGAACTTGATTAAGTGTTTAAAAAAATGATCGCTTTCATTTACATGACAGCTGTAGTTACAGTACTCGCACGATAGCCGCAGCTGTTCGGTAGCCATTTGCTCAACATTGAGTCGATTGAGTCTCAGAGACGTCCGGCATCCAGACCTCGATCCCAGGTAATCGCGTCCTCGAATAGTCACATGACCCTTCTTAACCAATCGTAGGCGAGAATACTAAGCTTGGCGTCCTTTTCTCCCGAGGCGAGAAAGACGCGCCATCTTTCAAATTTTCGCGAGGTTTACATTCATTTCCACTTCAACACGAGTTCCAACGTCAAATCCAGCTTCAAAACATAAATGACGCTCACAAGTTTCACCACGGAGAAACTTCTTGCTCTTTTAAGAGCGGCCGTCCGTAAATATCGCCTGGGGGCGTGCAAAATGAAAAAATCGAAAATCCCCAAACTTTGTCAGAATATAGCTCTACGTAAACTATTTCTAGAAAAATAACTTTCAGTTCGATTAGATTTTTCTTTTACGCGTGCGGCGACCGAGTCGGTTCGGGGGCTCACATGTTAGGTTTCACCGGCTAAAGGCAGTGCATTACTTAAAAATCATTTAAAAATTAAAGAAGAAACAAACTCTGCTTCTCAAAACCTTTATAGTAAGAGTGCAAATTAAATAATATTTTCAATGTGAAATTTTCCTATTCGACAACAAACTGGATATTTTTCAGATTTTTAATTATTTTACCTAATTTGCTTATTTTTGACAGACAAAATATTGACAAAATTCGGACTCAAAAATCACTTCTTGGTATACGGCTTTGAGGCATAACTTTCCTACAGATAGAAAGAGCAAGGTGTCTTCCTCAAATTAATGCAATAAAATTTTTGGGCAATCCAACGGGGAAAATATTCCAGCGCCAAATGAAAGTTGCCCTTGAGGTCAAATTCACGCCACTTTTGTCACGGTATTCCAAGGTGTTAAATCAACAAAAATGCTCTTTGGGGCAAAGAATGGCCAAAATCCCCCAAATCTCTTTCAAACGGAACAATACTTATTATTTTCGACCTATCTGCATCTGTTTCGCCAGTTTTTTTTACTTAAATGAACCCGTTAACAGTCAAAATCCGTTTGCTGTTCAATGAATTAACAGCCGTGAACGGCACAGATCAACACGTTTCAATACTGACTATCCATTGCTCATTTAAAAAGAACAATTTAGCCCACGTCAGCTTACATAAGGATATATGACTAAATATATTACTTATCTGTCAAAAACTGAAGAGGTATTGGAAATAAAACCGCTAAATACACGTTCTCTTCACATCCGTTGCGGAGCAATAGGACAATGCGTTACACACAGCTGTGGGGACTTGGGAGAGGAATGTCAGTTGTATGGGTGTGGGGTAAGTCAGATTTTTTTGCTGCACAATGCAATAAACCCTCCCTGAAACTAAACAATGATCAAATTGAAAATGATAAATCAGGGGGCTGATCAAAAGTAAAACGGACTGATTGCGAAACTTTAGAAACGCAAAAAATATATAGCACCAGGACCAGATACCACATGTGCTGTCTGCTCGAAGAGCAGGAGAGAGAACCTGGGAACGAGGTTGTTGTCTGCTATCTTGGGTTATCTCGTCTGCTGATCTTGAAATATTTACTTTAAGTCTAAAAATGCTTTCAGATAAATCAGATAAGAAAAACTCCACCCTAAAAAATTTTTTCAAAGTAAACGTGTGATAGTTGACTAATTCTTAGAGCCAGTACCAAAGCCACCTTGCTTCCGAGTTGAAGCCAACACTCGTTGACGTATGGCATCGTGTGGATATTCTACGTTTGTTGGAGGGCCCTGTGGAGCTAGCCCTTCAAATCCTGCTGATGCAACGTGTGTAGCACTAGACAAATGCACAAAAGACGTCAAGTCTCACTTAAACCAATATGACTGCTTTGATTCGTCCTTGAAAACGGAAGCAGATCTTCTTCTCGCAAGAGCAGGTAACTGATTTGCACTGTAAATAAATAAAGCCTTTCCGATGAGTTGATCAAGTTGATGCACTTTCACTGCTTGTTATTATATGTCATTCGTTTTATTTTATTTTATTCATTAATATTAATTTGTTTATGCGTGGCACGGCAACTCGAAAGACCTCTCAAAGGCAGCAACGTAGTTCCGGAATTTGACTTACTAACTTTTGATACTAACAGCTAACACATTTTGCGATTACCACAGGATTGCTACATGAATTCACTGCGGCTTCTTTATACATTTTGTTTCAGGGATTTTCGAAGTCGATGATAACCATATTAAAATGTCGATTTGTCCACGACATCGAGACGCCTTTGGTATACGATGGCGTAGCGGCAAAAGAACATGTTCGGCTCCAAAAGACTGGGCGGCGCATAAGAGTAAACAAGTCAAGGGAGATCGGGGTATCACCCTACCACAATGTAAAAGGATCTTTAGGCTCACTTCAGTGCTTGTTCCAGTTGCGTCTCGTAAGTAATAAAGATAATGCTAAGAACTGCACAATCCTCTAGTCCCTGGGAGCTGTGTATGCAGTCGAAAGAAACCCGGCTAGATGTTAAGTCTGGTCTGTGGCGTAGGCTGGGGACTGGTACTTAAAATTTGGACACAATTAGCTGCCATGAACAAAAGGCTTTATGACCAAATCCTAACTCGATGGGGATCAAATGCATGTCTAAATCAGTGATTAAAACCACATTCGCTGTGTTACAGACACCAACCAAATTTGCAGTGATTATGGAGATTCCACTGCATTATTTCACGAAGGCTGAAATGCATATTCCGCAGATTTTATCGCTGAATAAAGAAGATGGGAAATGTACTTATGAGTTGTTATTTTTCTGTTTTAATTTTAGCCATTTGTAAAAAATGTCGGCTGGTGCTTGCATCAGGGGCACCTTCATCCCCGTGTGAAACAAAAGAAGATGTCCCCCCTGCAATCGCAAAAGAGAAACAAGACGTCTGCACATCATTTACTTCATCACCGTCCATTACAAAAGAGGATGTTTCTTTCAAAGTCCAACAAGCAAAGGCAAAGGCAAAGGTCTTGTCAGTTGTTGACACTGACGAAACTGACTCGGTAATATATTATTATCATCAGAATCAGAGACAGGATTTGGAATTGAAACAGTTTTCAAATGGCTCCTTCTTGGGACCTCAACGAAAAAAAACCACATGCACACAAAGAAACAGATGGAGGAAGGAGGATTGTTTTAAATTAGATCTGCAATTTGTTTTGCAGTTCAAAACATGTAGAATTAAATCGATGACTAAATTTTTTTTTAAAAATAAAAGCTACAGTTTTCATCATCTTCATCATTATCATCGGCCCAATCATCATCATTGTCATTATTTTGTATTACTGTTATAGTCGCTTATAGCTTCTTAACTCCATATATTATTTTATTATTCTCTTTCTTAATTTGGCTTTCTCTTTTCTTCTTTTCTCTTTTATATTTCAGGACAATGAAAGTACCTCTGGTTTAAGTCAAGCCATGAAAAACCTCGAACTTGTTTCGTTCGACAGTAGCCCTTACGCTACAGAAAGTACCGGCAGCAGCAGCGGTAGTGCGAATGATTCATCAATCGAAAACCAAACGCTTCGTCGCTTAAAGCTGAATGAATTTCTAAGTGTATGTGGCAGGGAAACTGTGAATCAACCGAAAAAAAGTTGGGAGCAACTAAGCACGCGAACTAAAAATGTTCGCGTATCTAAAGCAAAAGATGCTGTCGTTGCGTCGTTAGAGGTCATTTCTCCTGGAAACCCGGCAGCCCTATGGGAAGCAATGAAAAGCTTACAGTCTGTAGAAAAAGCCTTGGGCACAGAAAATCAATCTCCGTTGGATAAGAAGTACCTGGAAGCGTTAGCAGAGACCTATCAGAATGCAAGTAGTTGGGACACCCGCCGACAGGTGTTGTCAATAATGGCTGATTTGACACCGTACTCTGTTTTGCAGCAATTTATTCCTGGCATCACCGACTACAGAATCAAAGTAGCTCGCCAACATTCCATCGAGCATGGACGCGGTGTTCCCTTGCCTGCCGCCAAGAGCCCTAGACTCAGGGTAGACGAAATCCAGCTCGATCATTTTTTAAGCTTCATTACCAGTCCCCACGTGGTCCAAGATCTACCGTTTGGCCAACGCTACCTGTACCTATCAAACGGCAAGGTACTCGAAACACCTAATGTGATAAGGTCCATGATACCACAGCGCATAATTGATCAGTATAACCAGTTCTGCTTGGAGACGAATTTTTCTCCGTTCAGCCCGTCCACAATGTTACGAATATTGTCATCGTGTACCGCTACAGTAAGAAAGTCACTTCAAGGACTAGACTACTTTGCCGCTGAAGGAGCAAAAGCCTTTAACGATTTGCTAAAATTAGTTGCAAGGACTGGAGACAGACAGTGGGTCGTTAGATGCGAGCAAGCTCTGAAAGAGGGAAAACAGTATTTGAAAACCGACTACAAGGTAGATATTTGAGAACCATTCATAATATAAACACTGAAAGGGTAATCACATAAAAGAAATAAATATGCAAAGGCGATCAGTTGAACCCTTAAAAATTATTGTAGCTATGCCTACCTTTTATGCTTAGTTACCCCTTTTATACTATTAAATAAATTTAATTGTATGACCGCAGTAAAAGATGTGTGATAAATCGTGTCTAGTTCTTTGGCCAATCATAGGTTGATGATTTCTTCTTTAAGATGTCGAATTCAAAATTTACCCAGAAATTTCAAAAACACAATGAAGAAATTCTTCTTTGTAGATATAGCTCATTATTTTTGTTCTGACTACTTTCTCGCAGGTTCATATCACCAGAGCATCCAGTATCCCCGACCACTGTAGTGCGTACGCCCTAACTGATACAAAAGAAGAGTGTCTTCGAGAAATGTGTGACCACGCCCACGACAAGAGTTGTCCCTTTTGTGATCGGCTGAAAGACACTTTAAAAGAAATTGAGTTGAATTTGATCGAAGCGAACCTGGATGAAGAAGACCGGGATGACGTCATGTACTCGTTTCAGCAAGCTTATACAGCAATAGAAGCTTGGAAGGCTCATCAACTGAGATCTATTCAACAGGATAAGGCCCGCTTAAACATCATAGATACCCTGGCAGAAAGTTCAGTGTTAATCACTCAAGACTGGGCGATGAAATTCTTGCCCCGAAAGTACCGGGAAACCCAAGCCGACTGGTTTGCTAAAAGAGGAATCTCTTGGCATATCAGTACCGTCGTACGTCGAAAGGGAAACCTGCAACACCAAGCATTTGTCCACATTGCGAAGAATTGTAACCAAGACAGTGACGCGGTGGTAAGCGTTTTACGCCACACCTTGCAGCAGCTCAAAATTGACCATCCTGAAACAACAACTGCCTTTCTCCGCCAGGACAATGCTGGATGTTATCACAGTGTAGCCATGTTAGCTGCCTGTGGACTTATGGAGAAAGCAACGGGAATTAAAGTAGAAAGAGTTGATTTTAGCGACCCGCAAGGCGGTAAGGGGCCCTGTGACAGAAAGGCGGCCACAATTAAAGCTCACGTTTTAAGGTATCTCAACGAAGGTCACGATGTGGTCACTGCAGAAGACTTCCGAGATGCAATGCTCTCTCATGGTGGTGTTAGAGGTGTTCGGGTGGCTTTGATCGACATGTCCATCGTGCGTCCAACGTCTCTGCGTGGGAAATTAGAGGGAGTTAGCAGCCTTAACAACTTCTATCTGGGAGACCGAGAGCTCACAGCGTGGAAAGCATTTGACGTGGGTAAAGGAAAGAAAGTACCATGGACACAACTGGAAGGTCAGACATCTTAGAAGCTATAGATAACTAACTCATAATTTTGGCACTAGTTTTGTTATAACGTAGCGTAACTGAATAGACATCAATGCGAACTACAAGAGATAGCTGCAACGCTGTTAATTTTAAAGTAGGTTGAGAACTGTTGTAATTTCAGCATGCCCATTCACTAGGCTTAAAAAGGTAACTACACAATACTTTTGAAGTAACGTTTGTTTTAGTGAGATTGAGCATCCATAATCCGCTACTGAAGTTTTTTGATAAAAAATTCTGAAGGCCTTTCTCTTTTAATATTTTTTTCTTTCGTTATTTAGTTGAAATAGGCCCGCTAGAGGAACCAGTTTTCACACATTGTTCATTTTCCCAAGGAGACTTTCAAGATGTCTCTTCATGTGACAACGCCCAGGCCTCTAATAATAGAAAGGAAGAGTCGCCGACAAAAGAGGAAAGTGTTGTTTCCGCTGACCACGAAAGCCCGCTCTTTTATTGTCCAGTGGAGGGATGCGTAAGCACCTTTCAGCGCCACTATAATCTTGAGCGCCACTTGCATTATGAAAAATGCCAGTTTCTCGAGGAGAAACACAGCCTCTTAGACAAGGCGAAGATGATGTACTTCGAAAAACTCGAAGAAGGTGCCAGTGCACAGCCTTTTGTAGCGGGCTCAGTTGTGGTAGAAAAGAGGGCGGGGCATCTGCTATCACCGGGTTGGGCCCTACGTTCAACTAAAAAAAGTTCTAGATTCAATTTCAAGCAGAAGAATTACTTAAACGAAAAGTTTAAGATCGGTGAACAAACTGGACATAAAACAGACCCGGAAGACGTGGCTAGAGATATGAGGCACGCAAAAGAAGAAGATGGCAGCCGCATGTTCACACCAGCTGAATTCCTTTCACCTCAGCAAATTAAATCCTATTTTTCAAGAGCTGCAGCGAAGTTACGTCAGTCCGAAAGTTGCGATGATGCTGATGAGTGCGATGTTCAAGCCGTTGAAGAGGAAGATGTATACTCTTCTGTGCGCACTCATATAATCCAGGAATGCCAGCTTGTTCATCCAGTCATGTATGACACGTACAATCTGTGTGAAATGTGCGAACAAAGGAAACTGACCAAGCTCAGCGTGTCAATGTTGCGTTTAATATGCTGTTATTTTGATCTGAAGTGCGAAGGTGTTTCACTGAAACGTAAAGCACCTTACGTAAAATTGATTGAGGACCTTGTAAAATCGTGCTCCTGCAACTAATATTATTATTGAAACTTGGGTGTCTGGACTAATACGGAAACATTCACAGCTCCTACTCCGTCCACCTACTCACTCAAATTTCCCACTACAGTATTATTCCAGTTTAATTGCATAATAACAGATAATTAGCATGTCGATACAAAAATAAAATTAATTAATTACAAAAGTACCCTCTTAAATTAGTCCACTGAAACGCAGGATTGTCTCTCGGCTTGTGCGCCTGCGGAGGTAGGGTAGAGCAGTGAGTAGGGATACGGAATTGGGATTATGGATGTTTTCATGTCTTCGATTACTCGCCAGAAAAGGTATAGGGGGAACAAAAGTTTCAGCTAATTAAGAATACGACATATGCCAGGTATCCTTACCTGTACAAGTCGTTTAAACCTTAAATCGCTCAATAGTAAGCTTCCGGTTTGAGGTGCATTACCTGCGCCCCTGTGTCACGCAATTGTGACATTCCGTGAAGTACAAGTACTCGATCGGTAACTCGAAATGCATAGGATGGAAGCCTGTTTGTATACATTGAATCAGCTTTAAAATGGGTAGGTGTATAACTAGTTAGTCTCATATAATGAAAGGAACAATTATTGTTTAATCGTGCGTGAAATATTTTAAGTTCTGGAAAACTATGAAGTTTGAAACGTTTCTCAGTCGGGAGCAATAACTAAGAATTTAGATATTGCAAGTCGATCGCAAATGTCACCTGTTAGCAAACGGTTTCCAATAAAATGAACAATAGAAATCATACAGCTACTTAAAAAGCAAACCTTCTTGGCAAATACAAGGCGTTCTGTGCTACAAAGCGCAAAAATATTTTAAATAACGAGAGTATTGTTGTTTTTGCCCTTCGAATGTCGTGACAAAATGGCGTGTTTTGACCTCAACGGTCGCTTTTGTTCGGCGCTCAAAACATTTTGCCTTTTGGATTGCCCAAGAATTTTATTACATTTATGTGAAGAAGACACCTTTCTCTTTCTATTGGTAGGAAAGGTATGGTCCAAAGCTGTATACCAAGGAGTGATTTTCGAGTCTGAAGTTTTGCTATTTTTTGTCCGTGAAAAATGGGCAAAATAAGTAAAATAATTAAAAATCTAAAAAATATTTAATTTGCCGTCGAATAGGAAAATTTTACATCAAAACAATTGTTTAAGTTGAGCTCTTTTTGGTACGATTCCCAGAAGCAGAATTTGTTTCCTCTTTAATTTTTAAACGATTTTTAAGTAATATATGGTCATTAGCCCCTGAGAACTGCCGTGTGAGCTTCCGAACCGACTCGGTCGCAGCACGCGTAAAAGAAAAATCTAATCGAACTAAAAGTTATTTTTCTAGAAATAGTTCACCTAGGGCTATATTCTGACAAAGTTTGGGGATTTTCGATTTTTTCATTTTGCACGCCCCCAGGCGATATTTACGGACGGCCGCTCTTAAAAGCAAGGAATGTGCCGCAAGAAGCCCTTGACCTGCTGAGAGGTGTGTATTGTTCGTTGATCTGAAATGTTCAAGGCCTAATCGATCCTTTCCATCATATCAAGAATCGAGTAGTTAACTGAAACATTTTCTCTTTTAGATAATGGCATTGATGGATCCACCCTTCTTATGCTGAGAGATGATATAGATGAATTTATGGCGGTTGTTCCAAAGTCCGGACATCGACTTCTCATAAAGCGGATAATCAAAGAGTTAGAGACAACAGAAGCACAAGTAGGCTTGTAATTTAAGCTTGTTTTAGAGTTGTGTCATCTCAACGGTGTCAAATGTCCCAAACCATTCCGTTATTATATCGCTTTTTTGGATATATCCTTCTCTGAAAAGTAATGAGGCCATTTCCTGGCTTTTTCTCACTAGTCAGAAAAAGAGAAGTTGATCTTTTGTCATGATGAAGTTTTTGTTACCTTGAAGTATGAAGTAAAAACGTCCAAAGCGGTGTTACACGTTTCATGGCCCACATGTAAGACAAGCTAGCTGTTGTAAAGTAAATAAATGACCGTTATTTACCCTCAGCAGTATTTATAGCACACAAAGGTTAGTGGGGCCGAGCAAATACACGAAACAAATAATTCAAATATTAAACACAGCAGGTTACGAATCCCAGCACAGGGGTCCCAGACAAGCTGTTTGTGTAACCCTTTGCTATTTTATAGCAGTGTATGCGATTTACTGTAAATTTCATGCTCTAGCGACGAATTGCTAAATATATGTATTGAACACAGCTAAATAAAAGTTAGAATGCCTTACCTGTGGTGTACTGTAGTCCTTCTGCCTCAGAGGCAATCAGCAGGACAGTTTCTGGCTGGCACATGAAGATCTTGCTACGCATTTTGATTGCTTGTAAAACATAGGTGAGCAAAGCAATTTTCTGAGGAAAATCTCCTTGGCGCTGGCTCAGTGCTGGAGCCGTTCAAATATCTTCCCTCCCTTTACGTTTCTTATGAGGCACAAACAATGGCGAAGACAAAACCCAACAAAATCGCTTAAAATATCACTACTGAGGCAAAAGGACGACAGTACACCACAGGTGAGGTATTCAAACTTTTATTTAGCAGTGTTCAATACATATATTTAGCGATTTGTCGCTAGAGCATGAAAAATACGGTAACTCCCATACATTGCCATAAAATAACAAAGGGTTAAACAAACAGTTTGTCTGGGGTCCCCGTGGTCCCAACTGGCAGGAGGCATACCAGTTTGCTATTTATAAGAGTGACCAAACCAGAGCGGGACTTGAACCCGAGGCCTTGCATTGCAAGACCAGCGCTCTAACCGTTCGGCCACCCTGCCTCCTTACTTGTAGTTAGTTTTTCAACCTGATTTCTTTGCTTGTAGGCAACATCATGATGAAAATGGACCTAATTTACTACTCATTCTTTATGCCAAAATACAACAATGTTGATTCAAAAAGCTGGTTTTCAAGGTCATCTTCTATGATTCAGATGATTAACCCTCTACTACGATGTTCCCAACAAAACCGTTTGATCTATGACTACAATATGGTATTTCCAACAAAATGGTGCCAGCTAATCAAAGTGTCATGGCTATCATTTTAAAGTGCTTCAGCTATCATCTCAAAAAAGGTAAACCAGATATTCTGGGATGGTTGCAAGGTTTTGTAACCAAGGGGATGCAGAGGAGATAAATTACACACCTGTGTAACTGAGGTCTCAGTACCCAGACAAACTACATGTACCCCTTTGAAGCTTTAAGGGCTGCAGGAGTACAGAATGTGAAAATGTAATGTGATTTACAAAGATAACCAATAACTCTTTGTCATGGTCGAACTAAACTACTATAATCATTGTGATACATTTTGCTTGCACAATATCCTTGGAGGTACACTTAGTATACCTTGTTTAGGCTATGGTTGTGGGGGGGGGTTAAAGCAATAATATCACCCATGGTAGAGTATGGATATTTTCTGGAATTACTCATTATGATCCAACGTAATTTGCTTTATATTAAATGGACAATGAGATCCAGCACAACATTACACTTACAGTCAAAATACTCAGTGCGTGCCACCTGTTATTCAAGAATAGTTTTGATTAATTGTGAACGGAGCCATTATTCGTTTCAAACTTTCAAATTTAATTTGGATATTGAAATCATCCAATCCTAGCCTGAGTGTGACCACATTTGAAATATATAGATTGTTGATTGGTGTATTTCCCACATTGCTTGAACACTTCATGTGGTGTTCATGTCCAAAAGCGGCCCTAGAATCAAACTGTTAAAAACCTGTGACAAGAAAAGCTACCGCCCTTTGCTGAAAGAAGGCCTTTCGGTGGCTATTTGCAGCTTTCCAGATCTGAATATCTGTTCCAAAAATTCGTCATTCTTTTCAACAAGAGCTTAGGCTTCTCTTGATCAAAAAAATTCAACGAAAACCATGTGAAATGACTTAAAAAGCGACAGACAAGTGAAGAAGACTCAATGGCGCCAAACTTTGCATGTGAACACGTCATGAAGTCTTCAACCAAAACCAATCAACAATTGATGCTTCAAATGAGGTCACACTCGGGCTACAGTTGCATGATTACAATGTTCAAATTTAATTTGAAAGTTTGAAACAAATAATGCAGTCTGTTTTCAGTTAATTAAAACTATTCTCAAATAATAGGCGGCACGCGCTGAATATTTTGACTGTAACCAATCTTGTGAAGTACTGATTTGTGCAGCCCTGGAGTAGTTCAGGCTCCTTTTAAGTTTTTTGGCTGTATAGCTGTATATGTATCATTGGAGATTTTTCTCATTGATGCTCTGTTTTTTACTTTGCTTTGGTCTGAAATAATTTTCTTTTGTTTTTTTTTTTTTATCTTCTAGCCCAGCTTAGAGTCAAGCCTTATTGACTTAGTGGGAGAATATCCATCCTTGGGGATGTTCTCTGGCCCAAGTGATGTTAGTATGGTTGACTTGCTGGATTCATGTAGCAGCATTGAGCCAAGCCCTCCAGTATGGACACCAAGCCCAAAACCTGTCCAGTCCAGTACACTAAACAGTGTTAGTACAAGCAACATTGAGCCAAGTCTTCCTCTACATACACCAAGTCCAAAGCTCATCCACTCCAACACATCAAACAGTGCTGAACCCAGCCAGCCACTTGCTCATTCTACCACATTAAAGACGACCACAAATTCATGCTCAAAGCGCAAGGCTTTATTCCCTCAAGAGGAATCTGAAGGCAGTTTTCCTACGGTTGCAAAAACAAGGCTGCCCGACCACCTGCCCTTTCCAGACAGGTTTTCCATCAGAGTTGAGGAAGCCATTACTGCTGATAATGTGCTGTCAGTGAGGAGGCAGCTCATTGCTGACCTTGGCTCATTTTATTATGCTTTGAGCAAACACCCAGTCCAGGGAGACTACAAGAGAATGGCTCTTGCAATCTGTGACAAATTTCCTGAGCTGAGAGATTCCAATCCATCAAGCTACTGGGTATGTTTGCTGTACATTATTTTGTTATCCTGAATTTAGGATGTGTACTGGTCTATAGATGTCAATCATAATAATTATATTATTTGTATGACTTGATCATTTTAGTACATGCCTGTTTTTGTGGTGTAAAATTTGGTGGTTCCCAAGGTCTTAGATTTTTGGTTAGGGAGAAGTAATCTCAAGAATAAGTTACCATTCAAATACTACACTGTTGAAAAAAGTGACGTTCAGTGGTTTATATTTCTTTTGTTTCAAGTGCTTGGTTTGTCCCTTCCTGGACTTTTGAAACATGATAAGTCTTTGTTTATTTCCTCTAGGTGTCGACACAAAAGCAGCTGAGCCAATATTTTAGGAATCAGAGAAGAGGATCAAAACCCTATGGGTCGTCAGAGTCTGGCAAGAGTGTAGATGCTAAGCCCTACAAAAAGGCACGACTGTCCTCCCCTGTAGGTGATGACAAACTCGCTCAAAGACGCAACTTGGTGCTGCTGTCTAATACTGAAGAGGGAGCCTTGTCTTGTTCTACATTCTCAAACCTTGTGGAGGAGACCTACCAAATGAGAAGAAAGTTTATAACAGAAGAGGCGAAGTCATCCAAGGAAATCTTAGATATGTGTCCATACCTTGGAAAATCATCTCATGTAAGTTTGTTGATGAAGATTTCTTTTTCATGCATTTATTTTTCATTTAATGTCCAGGGGTTTCATAAGTTTTGAAATAGCTGTCTGAGCTGACTAATGTAGGCCGGGTCCTGATGAAGTAGGAGGCAGTTAGAGGTAAATTTCTGACAAAGTAGCTGGTGGTTTTTTCGCTGATTGCTGGCTTCTAATGAAATTACTGAAAGTCAGTTATTTAATGGATTCTTTGTTAAAATTATTTGTCATTTCAAAGGCCTTTCAAAGTGAGTAAGAATGGCATTTTCTTTTTGAAAGATCTGTACCAAATACACGTATCTCCACTTTTGACCAGATGAGGAGTGAGAGATAAATGCACAGCTGCAATCCTTCTTGAAACATACTTGAGACCCCTGTTACATGAACCTCATGTCTCCTTACTAGCTCATCTAGGCGAACAATGTGGGAAAATGAATCCTGCATAAAATAGACTAGGAAGAGGATCTTCAAAAAAAATGCCACACTCAGTTACCGGTACTGTGAAAGGCTTTTCAAATAAGCAAACATACTTTTTATACTTCGTAGGCACTTCAAAATCCCCTCTTAAAACAGACACCCAGGACCATGAAATGCTAATGAGGAAATTTCGTAGCTAGGCAGAGGCAACCTTAAGTTAGGGAATTTCCCTTGCGTTGGGTTAAAACCTTATTTATAATGAGTTTTTGTAGGGTGAAATTTTTTTGTTAACTAGTGTAATTTATTTCTGATTTTCTCAGGTTCGTTCTGAGCTGTGCCGCCTACTTGACAAGAACTGTGTGAAAGGTGCAGAAGACCGTTTAGTGAGTGCTCTGAAAGTCATTCTGAGGCATAGCGGCGAGAAATTGACAAACACTCAAGTTGTGGAAGCTGTACATGTCATACAACAGCGAACCAAAAGAAAAGGAAGCAATTCAGCAGTGTTAAAATTTCAAGATGTAAGTAACATCTTAAATAATTTATTTTGCATGGTTACCAAGCTTCCACATATTGTGATGTATTTTTATTTTACCATACCAGAAGTAATCGTAACAGCTTTGATACCATGAGCTCAACATCATGCACACTATCACCTGTTTTATTGTTTTCAAGCATGTCATAACTTGTAGTTTTCTACTCAAGACACTGTTTCCTAGACATACAAATTTACATCAGGCCAATAATCTCTTCTTACTTCCATTATACATTTCAGCCGGCAACACCACCAGACAAGTTGTTCAAGGATAAGAAAGTGGAATTTTCGTTGGTGTGCACAGGAACAAGTGAGGAAGTAGAGCAAGTTTTTGTGTGTGGAGAGGACCAGGCTTTTTTCGAATGTGATTGTGAGCTGCCAATAGCATTAGTTGATTTAATTGCAGCATATTATGTTTTTGATGTCAAATACCCCCAGTGTTTCTCAGGAATTCTTTACTTTTTACAAGAGGTTGTATTACTGCAAGTTGATAGTGAATTTAAAGGAACCAAGTATGCCACCTTTATGGCGGAGTTTAAGAAGGAGAGCCAAAGAAAGTAATGTAAGGCATTAGTTGATTTAATTGTAGCATATAAGAGTGGTTTTCAATGGAGCGTCATAAAACCAAAACCAAAGTAATTACTCTGACCAATCACAAAAGTCGTAAACAGCACAATGAACCAATCAGAATATGAATTATTACATGTAGCCAACTCCAAGCACGGGGAAATGCAAGTCGTGATTTGATTTGGTTTTGTTTCTTAGTATTGCTTGAGAAAATGGTGCACATTTTGTCAACCAACCACAGAGCGAAGTAATGCAAAACCTAAGCAAACAAGAATTACTTTTGACACTCAGTTGAAACCGCTCTGTTTTTTTGTGTCAAATACCCCCAGTGTTTCTCAGGAGTTCTTTTTTTTTTTTGCAAGAGGTTGTATTACTGCAAGTTGATAACGAATTAAGGAACAAAGTATGCCACCTTCATAGTGGAGTTTAAAAAGAGACCGAAAGACAGTAAAACAAGTTGCATTTGACATTTTTATGAATGTGAGACAAGTAAGAATATCGTTAAGTGCTTTTTGAAGGTAGTTCCCAGAAAACCCTATATCAATATTGGATGACAGCAATAAATTCAAGTTTCCATAAGTACATGATTATTTATTAAACAATCAGTGGAATCAAGAAAACATCTTATGTATAATAGGCAAACTTAAGTAAGCTAATTCAGAATGTTTTAATTGAAAACAGTTGTTAATGTTAAAATTTGTTTTTAAAATGTTAATAAACTACTTCTGGACCATTGCTGATGTTTTGTCCCTTAGTAAATTTGAATTTATATTTTGGGGTACCTAGCAATGTGTTTTCTTAAGACACATCAAAAGATATGTTTGTTTGCACATCAAGATGTGTGACAAAACGCATCTTTCTTGTGAACACACCTGAAAGTGTGTCAAATTTAGGACAAGCATGAAACACAAGTTAAGGTGTGTTGAGGGAACACACCAAGGTGTGTTTGGATAACTCAACGAGGTGTGTTTGGGTAACACATGAAAAGGAGTGCGTTTATTCTCACCTTTTTGTGTGTTCTTTTGAGGACAAAAATAGGTGTGTTGCAGTAACACACTTTGTTTTAGAGACGCATTCTTTTCCTCCAATCGAAATTATACTAATGAAGATTCACGATCGCACAGTTGAAGTTGTATCGGTAGGGAAAGGTCTTTTCGTAGTTTCGAGTGGAACCGAACACAAGATTCGTGGAGACAAAAACTCCAAAATGGGCGGGTTTTTAGCTCTCCTAATTGTTCGGGCTTCATTTTACACAGCACCTCCTGCACGGTCCTAGTAACATTAATTACACACTAGGTAATTTGTTCTTTCTCCTAACCTGACAAAAGAGTTAGACTGGTGGCTTTCCTTGGTACGCAACTAAAATTAAAAATCGAAACCATTCAACAGATAAAGTACCAAACAGTCTCGCCAAGATTCAGGTATGTGTGACTTTTCACATGAAAGAAACTCCTTCTCTAAGTGACCTGAGATCAGGCGTTTTTGTTTGGTTGGTTTTTTTAAAGACATAATCGAGATAAAGGGTGAGTATGATCAAGGCTATCCTCTGAGGGGCACCAATACGGCCCAAAACGGCGGCCGTAAGCCAACAGAAACATCTGTCACTGAATTTGCCAGGAAAGCGTGAATTCTTCACTCGAGCGGCAAATCATAACAGTAAGAAATACTTATTCTAATAAAGGGTTCTTCAAAGATACGCTTCCCACGTGTTGCTAAAAGTTTTATAATGCTTATCATTTAATGACTTTAGCAGACAGGACCGGCAGAAAAAATTGCTTACTAGTCACGAAACCATAGTCACTTACTTGGTAGGAAAAAGTTGCACATTTCTTGATGAAACTCCATAGAAATCATCTACTGCCTAGTTGGGGATAAAGACAATAAAGTTACCTCTTCACATGGAATCATTCAATCGTTCCTTCACATGGTACTATTCGTTTTGATGTAGCTCTAGCTCTTTTCCAAGTCTGTGGAAACCTCTGCAGTGGTATATTATTCGGTCTGTAAGTACTTTCTAAATTTGGAGTTTGTAGATGCAATCCTATGGTGTAATCATTCAGATGAATCCGCTCTAGCAGTACTTTAGTATGTATATAACTCTTACTGTTGAGTCTTTGGATGAAATCCAGTGGTTTACAATTCAAATGAAACCTCTTTAGCAGTTATTTCACATGGTATCATTCAATCTATGTATAGCTCTTACTAGCTATGGAGTCTGGTGATGAAATCCTGTGGTCGACCATTCAAATGTAACTTCCCGTTCCGTTACTACTTTCACGTGGTACTATTCGTTTGTGGGTAGTTCTAACTATTGAAGTCTTAGCATGAAATCCTTTACAAGTTGAATTTTAAGTTTGTAGATGAAATCCTGTGGCTTGGCAAATCAAATGAAGCCTCTTTGGCCTTACTATTTAGTGGCACTAATCTGGTGAAGTGTACTTTGGAATTTCTCTGGCAGTAAAACGATCAAACTGCCTCGTTCTATGACGTCCAAGGTAGCCATGACGGAGTGGTTCACTAAGCAATACCTTGACGTCCTGTTCACAGGCAATACGCAACATTCCCCGGAGATACAAATAGTTGGCAAGTAGACTTGATGACTTCTCCATAAGACCCTGCAAAGGAAAGGGTACTACGGTTGCTGGCGTAAGAGATGAATCAAGAAAAGCAGTAGCAACAGGAAGAAAAACAAAACAACAAGCCAGTGAAGGACAGATGCCCATTCCCAGTAACAAAGAGCGTAAGGGAGCAAAAATCAAGACAATTTCACGCTGAATACATGGGCTACAAAGTTGAAACTCGCAAAGAAAACTTACCCTTCGTCTTAACTAGATATTGCGACCCACTTACCGAGATTTTCTCATTCAAAGACTTCAGGTAGTCCCCATAAAAACTACCTACAAAAGAAGATGACAGAGAAATAAAACGGAACGGACATTCAAACTTAAAAACGTTTTGGGGGCAACTTTAGAAAGAAGGAAAGGTTGAAATGGAAACAACAAAGAAAGAACTCAGTTCCCTGTACGTTTTAAACTTTGTTTACATCTGGCGATCATTCCAATAATCCTTCAGACTAAATTAGAAGCTCATTACTCATTAATGAATTTTTGAATAAACTACAGGGTACTGTTCACTAGCAAAAAGGAAAATCGCTAATGCTTTCAAAGGAATTCTTTCACCAATTTAACCAAACTTATTTGATCATTCGATTACAGTTACCTTTGTAAACGCCCTCGAATGTAAAGGGTGGAAGAACAAATATGTTTAATTCTTCTTGGGGATGCACGAAGAATTCATCAGAAATGCGTGCCACGGAGGAGGAACTTCTTTTTCGCAATGGTACTGCTCTAGAACAAAATTACAATAAAGAGATCTCTGAAAATGTGATGAGGTTTTATCCTACCTCAGTAACGAACTAAGTTCTTGGTGTGAAGGTATAATAAACACTTTAATGACTGGTTACCAAGGAAAAAGTGGATAGCGCTATCCACCTTTGAACAACTGGGGCCAGGCGCTTAGTTTTTTCGCGATCTGGGCCCAGCTGTTTGAAGGCCGAGTAGCGTTACCCAAGTTTCTGTTTCCTAAGTTTCAAAGCATTTTCTCGGATAATTTTCTCTATTCACTTTTAGAGTATTCAGTCGTTAGACAAAAAGAATCAAACTGAATTTTCTTTTTAAGCTTTCATTTGTGAATTCAAATTTCGCACTTTTAACCATGGTTTATCTTAACCCTGCTTGAACAATCCGACCCTGGTCGTAAACAAAGGCGAGCACAAAACGCGAGTGGCTGGTGACAAAGCACAGGGGACCACGGGAGGGAGAGGAAGCAAGGCTGCGAAGCGCAGTCTCGGAGTCACCCGTTTTCTCCTTCCCGCCTTCCTTTGCGCGCAAATTTACATCAAGAGAGAGACGTCGGGTAACGAGGCAGGGTAAACACATTATCGCTCACTCTTTCCTTTAGAAGTTAAACATGCAAAGAAATAAGACAAACCCAGGCGATGCCTTACTTTGGCGCTACTCTTGTTTTCTGTGCCTTTAGCGTGAAGTAATCTGTCTTTTCTGGATCATGCATTAGTTCATAAAGGAAGGTGCTGAATGCATGACTTTTGCATACCTGAAAGAGATTAGTACAAGTCAGTCGTGAGTGACGAACGGATTGATCTACGTCGTAATCCTCGTCTAATTTCAATGAAATCTTTATGAGCGACTCATTCTCAAATGCGATCAGCTATCCAAAATACCAAAATCGGCTTTGCTACTAGCCTGAGAAAACAGCCACCACTAGTTTCCCCGCGAAATGACGTCTGTGAAACGGGCGCGGAAATTCCATACTGCATGACGACGCGTCACTACCCAGATCTGGGTAGTGCTTTCGACTGCTTTCTCAGGCTATTTTCCTATTCCCTACCCCACGCCTCGCTGTTTTTTGTTTTCCTGCTCACGTCTCACGCAGAGTGAACTTTTCACAAATGACCAGCCGTAAGCAACCACCGAATCCTGGCATTTAGGAGGTTGCTTACAGAAGGTTCGACTGTAGTAAAAAAAAAAAATACCGAGCAAAACAAAATAGACGCTGATCATTCCAACCAATTGCTCCGCCCTTACCGCGAAAAAAAAAAAAGAAAAAAAAAAAAAGAGGCCTGGCGTATTCAGGTTAGTGACGACAGGAAGTAATATTTTTTTAGATTTACCACACGATAAAAGTCTTGATCTTCTGTAGGCTTTGACTGGATGAAGGAATCCATGTCGAAGAAAAGCTGAAGACAAAATAATTGTAAGCTGTGAGAATGCACCCCTTTTCAAGTAAGCCTCCCTCTCTACTAAGTCCCCCATGACAGGAAGAAATAATTCGTGGATTTTAAAACAAGAAGATAAATAACTCCATAAGCTCGTAAGACATGCAACCTAAAAGGCAGGTGATGTCAGAGTAACACAAGTTAGTAGGTCACTGAATGACTGATTCAAACACGCGTGTATTTAAGGTATTTTAGCATG